GCGGCTGCTCGTGGCGCTGCTGGCTCAGACTCCCTCGCTTGCTCCAGGTGAAGCAGTTCTGCTGGAAATGTTCCTCCAGGAGCGGCAGAAGTGCTGAGCTGAGCTCCTGGGGCGCCCCGCAGCCGTTTCATAACCACCGGCACCAACCCCCCAGTGCCGGGAGCCGCTGGGAATTTGGGGGGATCCGGGTGGGCAGGGAAAAGCCACGATGGGAATAGCTGGAATTGGGCACCTGGAAAACCGCCTGGAGCGGCTGCAGGTGCAGCAACCCCTGGCAGTGCCCACGGGCCACGCAGCCCTGCCCGTGCCAGGAGCCTTCCCGCCGGCTGACGAGCGGGAGATCGGGAAAAGGAAGTTCTGATTTCGCCTCCTTGGCTCTAAAACCTCTCGCTTAATGCTCTGGGCTCCCTCTCGGATTTGCTCCGTGAGCTCCAGGGCTGGGAATTCTCATTCCAAGCGGGCGAGGCGCGGCTCGCTGAGGCCGGGCTGGGGGACACCTCGGATCTCGGATTTCCACCTGCCCGGGCTCCCCCGTCCCCACCGCCCCCTTCCCGCAGCGTGGGGGACTTTGGGGACATCCATCAGACCCCAAAAGTGGCTCCAAGGCCTCCCAGCCCCCCGGGCCGCAGCTGCTGCAGGAGTGATGCAGCCACCAAAGCGCTGGGATAAGATTTGGGATCAATTCGCCGACAGAAAGAGGCTGAGGTCGGTCAATAAACGCTCGGTCAATGGGCTCGGCCCCGCTCCGCGGCTCCGCGAGGGAAACGCGTCACTTCTCAGCGGGTATTTCCATTTTAGCAGTTGCCAGCCCTGTCTCGGAGCCAGCCTGCTCGGGGGAGCAGCGCAGGGGACGGGATTGTGACTCCGGCAGCGCCCCGACCTCGGGCCGGGGGCTCCATCCCCTCCCGTGCCCCGGCGGGTGGAAGGGGAGGGGGTAACACCTTCCTCCTCTTTTGTTAAAACCCAGCGATTGCGGCACACAAATCACCCCCGACAACTCCGGAGCCGCTGCAACAGCTTCGCAGCTCCCATCTGCTGCGAGAGAGAGGAGAAAGAAAAAAACCCAACCACAACAACAAAAAAACCAACTTGGAAGAAGCCAGAAATGAGCAACATTACGGGAGAGGCTTCACAGAACAGATGTCCGCACCTTGCACCCACTGCGGCGTCTTCCCACAGGATTCGGGGGGTCCCTGGCAGGACTCTGCCCTGCAGCTGCCTCAGCCCTAAAATTAAGCGAGCGAGTGAGCAAAAAGCCTCCCCGGCAAAGGCTGGAGACGTTTGGCTGCTGCTGCCGGCGGCTGCACATCTCGTGGAACAAAGCCCAGCGCCCGGAGCTGCGGGCTAGGCACGCTGGGGTGGCAGGGGAAGGACTGGGGGGGTTTTGGGGGGCTCTGCAATTGGGGCCGCTCGTCCCAGGTGGTTGTTTTTGGGGTAAAACAGGCTCAAAGTGGCGGAGGACGCTCAGGGATGGATATCCCAGCTGGGAGATGAGCAGGGGCGCATCTCTCGCACATCCCATGGGTGTGGACGGCGTCAGTGCCGCTCGCCTCCCCTGGCGGGGGCTTTGGCTGCCTTTCCCTGCTGGAGAAGCTCTTCCCAGGGTGGGATTTTCCACGCAGGGATTCTGGCTGGGGGAGGTGTCGTTCCAAATGGGCCCCGGGCTCGTGTCCCGGCTCCCTGGGGAGCTCAGGTGCCCTTTCATCCAGTGACAAATCCCTGCTGCCAGCGCGATGTGCTAACTTAGGCAAGACCCATTTTCCTGCCTCTTAACGAGCTCCGGCTCCCGCACCCCAGAAACGACGCAGCCCCGCGGCACCGCTCCAGGGGAGAGGCGAGGAGGCAAAATTTTGGCTGGTGCCCCGGCAGAAGGTCCGTGCCCACACCTGGCACACGCCGGGCAAAGAGGGGAAACGCGTCCTGCCCCACGGCTGCGGCTGTGATGTCCGGGCAGTGCCCCCAGCAGGGTCCCGGCTTGGGACACCCCCCCAGAATGGAGCCCCCGCTGTCCCTGCAGCCTCCAGGTGTGCTGGGGACCCCCCAAATCCCTGTCGCGGCTCCCCCGAGGCAGCGAGCCCGAGGGGGTGACGCTGTTCCGAGCCCCGAGCTGCCAAGAGCCGTGGGATGCTCAGACCCAGCTCGGGAAGCTGGAGCAGCAGCTCAGAGCTCAGGAAAAGCCCCGGAGCAGGGGAAGGAGCGGCTGTGATCCCCCCGGCCGTGGAGAGGGATTCCCAGCGCTGGGGATGGACCCAGGAATGGGCGCAGCTCCCGGGGTACGGATCGCCCCCGCTGGCCCCATCCCAGCCGGACACGGCTCCGGGGTGGCACTTCTGCCTTGTCCCAGCAGTGCCACAGGTACGGGACAACGGAGGGACCCCGCTTCCACCCGGAGCTGTCACCCCGCGCCTTTGAGGGTCCCTCCGCGCTCAGAGACCCCGGCCAGGGACAGCGGCAGAGCGGGCACGGTGCCTCGGTGCCACCGGGAAGGGTCTCTGGGCCACGCCGAGATTGAGTCCCAGCCCCGGGGACGCGCTCAGCTCCTCGGCCCGGACCCGCCGCGGGACTCGCTCCCCGCCCGTGGCGATCCCGGCACCGGCGGCAGGAGCGGCACCGCCGCGTCCCCCGCCCGGAACGCAGCGGAGAAACTTCCCGGTGGAGCCCGGGGGGGCTCGCTGGGAGCCCCGCGGCTCTCCCGGTACCCCCGGTGCTCCTTCGCCGGCAGCGCCCGTTCCCCGCCGGGCAGCGCTGGGGGCGCGGGTGGCCGCGGCCCCTCCCGGTGCCCGGTACTCACATGAAGACGTGGTAGATGAAAGCCCAGCCGCGGGGCCGCTCCAGCACGTTGTAGAGGCAGTTCTGGAGGCGGCGGCGGCAGCAGCGCGGGGCCCCGGCGGGGCGGGGGGCGGCCCCGGGGCGCGGCCCCGCCAGCAGCCCCCGGCGGCGGGGCGGCGGCGGCGGCGGCGGGGGGGGGGTCCCGCTGCCGGTGGTCCCCGTGCCCTCGGTCCGCACCGCCGTCAGCGCCGCCCGCCGCTCCCCGCCCGCCGCCGCCGCCCCGGCCATGGCCGGCCCGCTCAGGCCGCCGCCCGCCGCATGGCCCCGGCCGCCGCGGGACCCCCGAGCCAGCCCGGGGCCGCTCCCGGGGCCACCTGCCTTTAGCTGCCCGCCGCCGCCGGCGGGCCCTCCCCCGCCGCCGCCCCGCCGGCCCGGCCCGCCCCGCCGTACCTGGCCCCCGCCCCCGGGGCTCCGCGGGCCGGGCCGGGCGGGGAAAGCGGCGCCGGGAATGGAGGGGAGGGGGCGCCGGGTGCGCTGCTGGCACCGTCGGTGTGGGCACGGGGCCCCGCTGGGGACGGGGAGCGGCCCGGAGGGCGGCCCGGGGCACCGCGTCCCGATCCGCAGCCTGCGGCGTGTCCCGCAGCGCATCCCAGAGTGCGCCCCAAACCGCGCCCCGCAGCACATCCCAAAACACGCTGCTGCCTCCTAAACTGCAGCCCAAACTGCAGCCCAGGCTGGATCCCACCGCACACCCCAAACACAGGGTGTGGAGCACCCTGGAATCGCAATCCCACAGGATGGAGCAGCCCTGGAGGAGCTGGAGCATCCCTGGAGGAGCTGGAGCATCCTTGGAGGAGATGGAGCATCCTTGGAGGAGATGGATCATCCCTGGGGCAGCTGGAGCATCCCTGGAGGAGATGGAGAATCCTTGGAGGAGATGGATCATCCCTGGGGCAGCTGGCGCATCCCTGGAGGAGATGGAGAATCCCTGGAGGAGATTAAGCATCCCTGGAGGAGATGGACCATCCTTGGAGGAGATGGATCATCCCTGGGGCAGCTGGAGAATCCCTGGAGGAGATTAAGCATCCCTGGAGGAGCTGGAGCATCCCTGGAGGAGATGGAGCATCCCTGGAGGAGCTGGAGCATCCCTGGAGGAGATGGAGCATCCTTGGAGGAGATGGAGCATCCTTGGAGGAGTTTCCCAAGTTCAGCCCTTTACTTTTCCTTCCACCTCAACCTCACCCAGCAGGAACTGAGGCGGGGACTGGGAATTCCCTTTCCAAGCTGGATCCCGGCTGGGTCCACGTGCTCTCGAAGCCTTGGAGAATCCGAGTGCTCCCACCCCACCCGTCCAGCTTCTCCTGGAGCAGGGATGAAGTTCAGGGCTTTGGGCAGTGAATTATTTAGTGGCAGTCAGAGATGCTGGCACAGCGCGGGGCCCTCGTGAGCACTGCGGGATTTGGGAGGCCTCGGGAATCGCACACAATAAATGGACAATTTTATTTACTCGCAGCAAATGATGCTGTTAAACCCACAATTCCCCTCCAAGGATGCCACAAAAACCCCATGTGGACGGGATAAGAGCTGTGGAGGCTGAAATGCTTGGAAATCCAAATGAAATTCTCCCCTCCATCCATCCTTAACTCCTGTATCCCCCCAAAAATTGCTTCCCGGAGCATCCCCCCGGCTCGTCTGGCCCCTCTCCCGGCAGAAGCTCCAGTGGGATCACCCTGACCTTCATCCCTGCCTTTGGAGCAGCACATTCCCCTCGCTGGAGGTTTAGGTTTCACCTGGCATTGATTAAAACCTCGGGGCTGACAGGAGGCAGGGTTGAGGTGACCTGGAAAGGACTCGGTTGTTCGAGGGGCAGGTGGGAATTGGGTTTTTTCCTGGGGCTGGGGGTCACCACATGCCGTGGGCAGGTCCCGTTCTCACCTTGTCACCTGCCCAGACCCTGGGAATCTCCATCGATCCGGGAGCTGGGAGGTTTTGGGATGGAGCCAGGCAGTCTGAATCAACATGGCACCAGCCCATTCGTCAGATGGGTGGAGGTTTTGGGGAGGCGTCCCAGGATTTGTTGCTTTTACCCCACACCTGCCCGGCTTTGGGGGTCCCGCAGAGCCACTCGTATCCCCCAGGCCCGATGAGACTTGCAAGAGAATTCCAGAGGCCGGGAATGGCGAGGGGGAGGCCTCTGTGCTTGGAGCCTGCTGCCCTCTCGGGATTGCAGCTCGAGTTCCTGGCACGGAGCGGCGGCCAGGATTTGCATCCACAGGATTTCCAGTAAGTTTTGCAGGCTTGGAATGCAGCTGCAGGGCTGCGGGGCTGGGGACAGGGACTGTGCGACCAGGGACACCTCAGCGGGACACAGGGACCCACTTTGGCCTCCTGGGTGGGGGATACTGGGGGGACATCGTGGTACGGGGAGGATTCATCCAAGCTTTGTGAGCGGGGCAGCCCGGCTGGAGTGACCGGGATGGGCAGAGCTGGGGACAGCGGCCTCGGGGGTCGCAGGGGTGGCATTGTCGTGGCGGGGGAAGCGCTGGTGACAGCGGTGACAGCGGTGACAGCGGTGACAGCGGTGCGGGGAGCGGGGAGGGCTGCGCAGCACCTGCTCCAGCCGGAGGCTTGGCCCCATCCCAGAGCAATTAACTCCTGGCACCGCTCGCTGGGACAAAGCAGCGCCCGGGACAGCCCTGAGGGGTGGGGAACCCCGGGCTGGGGGCTGCTCTGCCCCAGAGCCACCCCACCGCCTGGAGCTGTCCCTGAGCTGGGAGTGACCCGGCGGTGCCGCCCGGAGCTCGGGCACCGCCCGGAGCGGCCCCGCGGGAGGAGCGGGCAGCGGGACGGAGCTCCGCCGCCGAGGAAGGAAGGAAGGATGGATGAGGATGCCGAGAGCTCCCGGGCTCGCCAGCGCTGGGACAGTTCCCAGCCAAGCCCTTCCAGCCGTGCCAGGTCCTGCGGAGATGGAGCGGAGCGGGGAAGAGGCAGAGCTGCTCCCCCAGGGAACGGGGCTTTGGTGGCGCTGCTGCAGGTGGAGACCTCGGAGCCTCCACCGGGAGCGATTTTCCCTTCTCCAGTGTCCCTCGGGCACCCTGGACCCACAGCGGCAGCGTGACCTTCACCGCAGTGGTTTCCTTGGGAAAGGGGGGCGGAGGTGGCAGCTTTGGGAGGGGACAGCAGTGCTGGAGGGGACAGCAGTGCTGGAGGGGGACAGCAGTTCTGGAGGGGATAGCAGTGCTGGAGGGGACAGCAGTTCTGGAGGGGGACAGCAGTTCTGGAGGGGGACAGAAATTCTGGAAGGGGACAGCAGTTCTGGAAGGGGACAGCAACCCCAGAAGGGGACACCAGACCCAGAGAGGACACCAGACCCACAAGGGACAGCAGTGCTGGAGGGGGACAGCAGCCCCAGAAGAGACAGCAGACCCAGAGGGGACACCAGACCCATAAGGGACACCAGACCCAGAGGGGACACCAGACCCACAAGGGACAGCAGCCCCAGAGGGGACAGCAGACCCACAGGGGACAGTAGACCCAGAAGGAACAGCAGCCCCACAGGGGACAGCAGCCCCAGAAGAGACAGCAGACCCAGAGGGGACAGCAGACCCATAAGGGACACCAGCCCCAGAGGGGACACCAGCCCCACAGCTGTCTGCAGCCAAGCCCGCAGCAAACCGAGCGTGGCACTGCCCGAGTGCCGGCGGCCGGCGCTGAGCTCACCACCCCGAGGAGAAACGGGATCTCCAAGCGCTCCTCGGCAGGGAAGCGCTGCCTCCTCCTCCTCCTCCTCCTCCTCCTCCTCAGCTTCCTCCCGGGTCCCTGGGGGTGTGACTGCTCCTGTCGCACCTGCCCTGTGGAGTCACTCGCAGAAGGGCCGATGTCCCTGCCGCGGGTGTCACCGGCCCCTGGAGGGACACGAGTTGTCCCCCCAGGCCACCCCGTTTGTCACCGCGGTGCCCAGGCGGTCGGAGGGAGCCGTGAGCCCCTGCAGGGAAGGTCTGGCTCCGTCCGTGCCCGCGGTTCCAGCCCCTGTGACAAACGATGCTGGCTGTCCCCAAAGCACCCGTGCTGTCCCAGTGCCCTCTGCGAGGGCAGGCAAAGCTTCACCTCTGCTACCACCCAAATAAAAAAATAACTGTTGCCCGATTAAGGTTTATTTCAGTATTAAAATCCACACCTTGTATATGCTAATGAGGTTAATTAAACACACACGCTCACATCCATGATTATTACTCAGCTCTCTGCCCAGATCTCGGCCCGAGGAGAAGATTCCATTCTGAAGCTGCTCCTGTGCCTTCAAGAAACCCTGTTTTTGTGCATCTGATCAAGAAGGTTTTTATTGAACGTCACCACATTTTTCCTGCCCAATTTGACACAATCGGGAATTAAAATAATCAGCCTGGCCACCCCCAGCCCCTCTGATCTCTCAGAACTCAACAGGGTTTTATTTCCAGCCAAATTTCATTCACTTCATGCAACAGCTGGAA